CTATGGAACCGGTTTTTATTCTACTTTGAAAGCTCGATTCTACATTTTCCCATCTAACCCTCTGACCCAATGTTAAGTGAAGTCCTGCCCCAATATGTCTAGTTAAAATCAACTTTCTAAAATGTTTAAAATGCCCCAAATTTGTTTCTACTTTTCTACAGGTCCCTACAGATAATTTATTTTGCCTTCTACTACGAATTACCCGTTTACATAATCTAATTTGTTTTTCTATTCGTTTCAGCCACACTTCCGCGTCTCTGATTGTAAAATTATCAAATAAAATTTTCCGTAGACTAACAATTGATAGTAGAACACCGTCTGTTTGTTTGATGATCTTTTTAACCTTATTTGAAGACATTTGAAAAGACGACATTTTTTTTTTCAAGCAAACACATTACTCAAAAATATATAAAAATGCTCACCCTGTCCTCCTCCTGTTCTCTGCTTTGTTAATTTTCCACTATTTTGAATGATGCTAGCGGTCGGCTTTTCCCTACGTCCACTTCCCCTTGGAAGATGATCGAGTATTTTCCGTGAAAAAGTTCGTCGATGACCGGCTGGTACGTTTCCGTCACCCGCTGTGGTAGAAATAGCACTTCCGGTCCTAAATCTAGTAGCACGGCTTCCCCAAATTTCGACTTGACCACTTTAGCTGCTTGGATTGCAAATGGTGTCCCAACTGGTAGGTCCTTTAATTTTCTGATAGGTTTGCGGTCTACAATCGAAGACGCAGCATTAATTTTTGATAAATCCATCTATAAAAAAAATTGAGTCGTCTAACTATTTTGAAGCATAACACGAAAAAAAAAACAGTTGCATTTAGAGACATAAAAAAGAAAAATATTAAATAAAATAGCACTTACTTTTTTTAAAATTTTCGCTCTCTCGTCTCTCTCGAAGCACTAATTGTACTGCGGTCGTTGTTGCAGCTTGCAGCGTTGTGCGTTAAGTGTGAAACAATGATGACTATTGCATGCGCTCGCTCAATATAAGTACGTAGTAGAGATGACACACGCGTGCATGAGATAATTGTATCGTAAATATGCATATTATATGCATCATATTCTCAGTACCATTTTTATCGAGAAAACTGCATGCGCTCGCTCAATATAAGTACGTAGTTGAGATGACACACGCGTGCATGAGATAATTGTATCGAGAAAACAACATTCATTGCGGTTGCAGTATTTTTTATATAATTTCTTAGTAATACATGAATGTATCGTTTGTCCGGCGGAAATTCCAATTACAAGTTGCACATGAGAGTAGAATTTTAGAAATATAGAAATTCGTGTATGATTATTGTATATTTGCTGCCTAATTTTTTTTCAGTCAAGATTTTGATTGGGGGGTAAACGAATTTATATTTGCTATCTGAGATTTTTGACATCATTCTCTATCAAGATGTTGATGTGGGTAGACGTATTATTTTTTATTTCAACTTTCACATACGTGCTTTGCAACGATTTCTCCGAAAAAGACGCTATAGTATACCTAACTCAATATGAACATATCATCGATAATACAACAGATCTCTCTACTTTGCTAACTAACTTGCAAGAAAAGTATAATTTACCAGTGGATGGATTGTTGAATAATGCAACAATTGAATTTATGAATCGTCCGCGTTGTCAATACAGTGATGCTGAATTTAGAGCAAGTTTTCCATTTCGGAAACATGACCTGAAATGGTATTTCCCTCGAAACACACCTGCGGCCCAAAAAGATGCAGAAATGGCTTTTCAGATGTGGCAAAATGTTTCAAACTTAACATTTACAATGGTTACCAATCCCACTCTATATCCTCCTGATATTACTATAACCATGGTTAGCAAGACTCATTATTTTAGAGCAAACTGTATGGGTAATGATGAATGTCCATTGACATTAGATGATGCTGGCGGCGTTTTAGGACATGCATACTTTCCTGACTCTAGCGGCACCTGTAGAGAAATCCATTTAGATATAAATGAACACTGGTATTTTGGAAATAATCCTAATATACCCAAAAATCAAACTAGTTTTCTTATGGTGTTGGTTCATGAAATTGGACATGCTCTCGGCATAGCACATAGTGCTTCTCCGAATGCTATTATGTTTGCCTTCTATCAGCATGAGATTCGTGGTCTAGATGTTGATGATATAAATGCAGTACAATATCTATATGGAAGAAAAAACAAATATGATTCAATCCCAACGTCTACCACCGCATCAGCAATACCAAAAACAACAACAACAACTATAAGATCTACAACTCGTAAGCAGCCGATCCTCAAAAATTTGTGTGATATTATTCCAGATTTTATGTTTTTAGCCATTGCTCCAGAGTTTTCAAATTACCGATTATATATTGCACATGATATGTTTATATGGAAACTAGACTTAAACGAAATGATTATCCCATCTCAGCCTGAACTTCTTGTCGATTATGTTCCTACAGAATTACGTCAATACACTTTACAACATATTTTCCAATCAACAAACGGTGACTTGATTACCATTGTGTCTCCAAACAAATATTTCTCAGCATCATTCCCTACCATTAAATTTCTTGATTATTTTTCAAATGATATACCCGATAGGGCTCGAATCAATGCTATTTTTCAATCAAACGCAGGACGGTCCTATACCTTTTATAATAATATGTCATATATAGAATTTTCTAACGATTTTACTGATGTGTTGAACAGAGGACGGATAAGAGACATATTTCCTGGGTTACCTGAAGATATTTCTCTCGCATTTCGTTGGATTGATGGCCATATTTACTTTTTCCGTCACGCAACTTACTATAAATTTAATGAATTTACAAGAAAAGTTGTTGCGACCGGACCATTTCATTGGACTCTATTTGGAGTACCATGCCCCAGCGAGGATTTGTTACATCAACTAAAAACTCTGTTATCTAAACTTGTATCTGTATATCATTAAAAAAAATACATTTTTCAGAAAGCTATGTTTATTTCGTATTCAGCACTAGCAGTGCTACAGTATCAATCATTCAAACCAGTCGCAAGCAATTGTTTTGTTCAAAAAGAGGTAAAAAATGGTAAAACCAAAAATAACCAGCGAGGAGGCTCATTACGAGGCTTTTAGGGAAAAATTAAAAAACAACCAGAACTGAACCGTGAAATACATAATTTGATTCTTGTCTGTCATGAACCAAATCAGTTGTCGAAGAATGATTTGAGTCGATTAGTATCAACATCTAAAGTACTCCCTGATAATTACAAGAATCACTTAAAACAATCATTCAATCTACCTGCACGACCAGAACACAGCGATATTGATTCAGACGACACTGTAGGCAACTGAAAATTTCATACACACACACACACACACACACACACACACACACACACACACACCAATCAACCTTATTGTTATATATACTATATGTTTCAATAAAATATCCATTATACTATTTTCATTTTGAACGGTATCATCCTGTATAATAATAACAGTACATCGTATACAGGTTATGAGACATTCTGACCGACCGACCGACCGACCAGAGGAGCCCACCACGCTATTTAGGTCACGCTTTGCTATATACGATTTAACGATATACCGTCGGTCCATCGATCCGCTATTTTTCGATGCACCCCTGTATACACGTTCTGAATGCCCACGCCAACACCAGACAGGTGCGACATCGGCGCCATCTATGCGCGAGATGCCCAACCCATCAATGGCAGCTGTCCAATGACACATAGATTCCGTTTGGTTTGTACAGCGCCAAACAAATCGGCGCCATCTATGCGCGAGATGCCCAACCCATCAATGACAGGTGTCCAATGACGTATGACAGATGACGTGTAACGCCATCTATGCGTGAGATGCCCAATGACGCATGACAGGTGTCCAATGACACACAGATTCCGTTTGGTTTGACAGCGCCATCTAGCGGCGGAATCCCCAACTCATGATTACAGATTCCGTCCAACAACCTGTCAATGGCGCGCGACGCCAGCGCCTCTGGTGGCGGATTTTGGAAGTTTTGAGACCGAATCCCCATAAGACATCTACTCATATTTTTTCGAGCAATCCCTAAATGAAAATATCTTTTTTGATTTTTTGGACAATCAAGTACCGTTGTTGTTGGCAGATGTGCCACAGAAAACATGGCAAAACTTGTTCTTGCAGTACGATGGTTGCACAGCACATTTTGCTATTATTTTGCGGAAATCTTTGAATACCCAATACGCCAACCACTTTATTTTTAAAGATACAGCAAACATTGTCAAACAAAAAAATCCTCGAATTTAAACATCAGGTATTTTTTTGTTAGGTTAATATAGGTAGCGGAATGCACAGAAATATCACATTTTTATATTCAAGATTGCAGTTACGCCCCCTAGCGGCCATTTCAGAAACTTGAGAATATTTTCCAGGTTTTTCTCTTGGCCGTGTTAGAGAGAACTTTTTTTGCCGCAAGCCTCTACGATGGATAGGTTCCCAAATACAGTACCTCGCATTCTTAGTTGTCCACCCTGTACAGAGTGCGGATGTCAAAAAGCAGTCACCAGTTCGTCCAAAAAGCAAGTTTTATGATCCCACGCATTGGACCAAAGCTCACTGTCGATATTGTTAGCATGTGGCTATAATGAAACCACACAAGCCACCTTTAACGACACGAACTTGTATGGAATATTCATATCTTAGCTACTTGCTTCTGGTCAGCTTAAAGGGTTTGGAGAATATACAATATTTTGATTGTATGACATTTCGGATGGCTTCGAAAGAGATAAAGCATTACACAATGTCTGTCACTTTTTTCAATAAAATGGTACATATGTGCTTGATATGTCTGAATTGTCCCAAGAGCATTTGCTTTCAGAGAAGCGCTACTTGAGTATGCAACAACCCCCCTCCCTTTCTTCAATTTTCAATCACTGTTCTTCCTACCAAAGACGAACATCTAACTGAACATGAATTCTGCTGCCACCACTGCACCCGCTCCCAAAAAGACTCTGCCTACAGTTCCATGAATCATTTACCTCAATATATCTTCAGGCTCCGGTATTTCGTAAATGTCACCAGCGAATTTTCTCAGAAGAAACATACATCCAATTTTTACGACCTCTTCAGGCAAGAGTTCTGCCTGTTTAGAGTTTCTACCGGTAAGCCAACCTAGTAGTACTCTTGGATGGTTATCCACAGCATAGAATCCCCAGATGTCTTCCAGCCAAGATCTTCCATTATTCGAAGGTTCAAAGTAAGGGCACTCTTCCTGTAGCCTAGCTTTGTCATCTTCAATCCACAGGAAACTGAATCCTGGAATCCAGGAAAATTTTAGAGTTAATTTTGAGTGAGGGTGCCAAAAGGACATTACCATTACCCTAAAAAATCATTTTACTGGCCACGTGGAATTCTACATGTAAAACTAGGCCTCATTAGCGATACTGCATCGTTTGCAAGAAATGAATTCCTAGTGGCGGTTCCATATAATACAGTATCAACTCATGACCTATCCAAAATAAATTCATACATAATGTACACGAATTTATATGATTTTGCATGTCTCAGCGACGACTGAAACTGGTATCCATATATGTTATCCACTCTCACACCGTCTCAACAATTACATTATACAATTACAATAGTCTGACTCCATTTGCTTCACTTTAAGTGTGGATCCGCTAAAATTTCGAATCATACGCTCATTCACAAAAGATGGATTCAATTATGATTATTATATGATCGACATAAGCAAATGAAAACAACGTTCAAGCTAAACTTTCTTCCTCCAAGTAAACAGAGATAGGAAATAGCCAATTCTTGAAAACGCTAGAACTTTTACCCACAAACTCCAAAGAACGCTACGAAAAGGAGCACGGGAACTTTGAGAAGTGGTGCCGGTGCCAGTTCAAGAACGTATCATCAACCAAGGAAGAAGTCGTCTTGGTATATTTTGCAGACATAGCCAAAGTGTGTAAGCCTTCAACATTATGGTCACGTTATTCTATGTTGAAAAATCAAAAATTTTCACGAAAGCAATGTCTGTTTGACTGGCCAATTTGTTCAATAATGCCCCAGATGATATTTACCTCATGGTAAAAGTTTGGATTGTTTGGATCAGCGGGACGAATCGGCACGAATGGTAGTCAACGATATAGAAGAAAAAGATACGTATTTAATAGTGAAGATCCCTAATACCAAAACGCACAGCAACAGAATGTCGTGATATCCGAAGAATCCCCAAATGGTAAATATTTATCACTATACCGCAAATATGTATCAATTCGTCCACAATCCACACCACATTGTAGGTAGAGTTTTCATACAAAATAAACACGGAGTATATACCACCCAATGCGTGGGGGTCAATACTTTTGGGAAAATGCCCGCTGAAATCGCCGGTTATTTGGGATTACCCAAATCTGAGCTTTATACCGGCCATAGTTTCCTACCACAATGTTGGCAGGCTCTGGTACCACTATCCCCGACATCAAGAGGCACGGCAGCTGGAAGTCTACATCTGTGACTGAAGGATATACAGGATTATTCACAAGTCGTGACAAATAATGAAATATCATACATAGGACCGTATTTTAAGGGGGGTCTTTCATGTAACATTTTGTCACACAGAAGACCCCCCTTAAAATGTGGTCCTGTGTATAATGTTTCATTTTTGGTCACCACTTGTGAATCACCCTCTATAGCCGTATCGTTAGAAAATAAAAATGATACTTCCAAGAAAATTCTGGAAAACAACTCATATTTCACGTCACAAAGCACGGGTAGCACAAGCAGTGCCACTTCTACGGAGCATTCTAGAGAACATTAAATTTTAGGAAAGCGACGCCGGAGGGCACTAGTTCTCCTTCGAGAACGCCTACAAGTTTTCATAATCCAAACAACTGTTCCTTTACTTTTAATATTGTTAAATATAATTATAAATGAATTGTTGAAGTTGTTGTTGTTGATAATGTTGATTTTACAATTATTAAATTTCTAATAAAACATAGTACGTATTCAAAATTCTGGGTTTATTACTCGCGCTGCACTGTTAGAAAAAACCTTATACCTAACAATTGTGGTAAGTGTATTTTCCGCTCTTGACGGCTTGTCGGCACGGCTATTATGTCACAGATTATAATTATGTAAAAAACCTATAAAATGTCAAAAAAAACAATAAAATGTCATCTTGCAGACTAGGTAGTTTTTAAGATGCAAACAGTTCATTCTACGTTTGCTCTCTATGATCGCTGTAAAAGTCCATCTATGGAGGAATGACTCAACTACAAGCATTGTTGGTTGCAGAGAGCAAGTATACAAGTATGTTTTGTGAAGCCGAGTAGTCTGTAGAGACGTGAAAGAAGGAAATTTGGTTGAATAGCATCTCGATGATTATGTGTGTCTGCAGGTATATAAAATCAGTGATATTCGCTATGTGAAAAAATTATTTCTGAATATGCTGCCAATGCCAATAATGTACAGGGTGTAAACGTTATGATAGTCATTGTTTAAATGGGTGATAAAGGGGATTAAAGGAAGCAAAAAGTTTCATATACCATGGGGGTCATAACGGCAATTTTTAGAGAAAAACGACTTTAAAGTAAAATAAAATCTGACAACGCCGCAATGCCAGACGCAAATTTCGGCGGAACGCAGTGTAAATAAAGATGGAGTTTGTTATTTTTGGCTCTTAGGTATTATTTCATTATATGATAATGTACTCGTAAAATGCAAACAATTAAAAAAACGGACTTACCACTAACAGTCTCAGCGCTTCACCTGGTGTGTGAAAGTTTATTGAACGTATTAAAAAAATCCACTTATAAATAGGAAACACAATTTTGATACATACATTGTTTTTCTTTTTAAAACCCACACTGCACTTTTTTGTATTTAAAGAAGGTGTTCAAAATGTCATCCTACACTTTCCACACAAGCTTCATTACGACGAACCCAGTTTCTTCTTACTCTAGGTCCTCGAAGTTGTCCATTTTTGACGAAGTTGTGCTTCAGTTTTTATTGGACCAGCCTCATAAACCATCCCTTTAAGTTCTCCCCAATACCAGAAATCCATCGGATTGAGGTCAGGAGATCTTGCTGGCCATTTTCGAGGATCAGGACCATTTCGACCGATCCAGCGATTTAGATAATGTACATTCAAATACCGAATGACGCATCTAAAAATGTGTGGTGATGCCGCGTCATGAAGAAACCACAAATTCTGTCTCCGTTGTAATGGCATGTTGTCTAAGGTCTGCTCCACAAGTTCTGGTAGGTTATTGGCTAGAAAGCTAAGGTATCCTTCTCCTGATAACTTTGGGGGTAACTCGAAAGGGCCAATCACCTGATCGTCAAGAATACCTGCCCAAATTAGTATTTATTTTAAAGCGTTGTTGGAAATGACCTTCATGAATGGTATGAGGATTTTCTTGGACCCACGTGTGAGTATTATGGAAATTTAATATCCCGTCTCGCGTAAAAGTACATTCGTCGGTCGCTAGAATGTTTTTAAGAAAATCCGGATTTTCAATGTTTTTGTGCAAAAACCACTGACAAAATGTTAGTCTGCGAGGATAGTCTTCTGGTAACAAGGCCTGCACTCGTACATGGTAGGGATAAAGCAACTTTTCCCGTAGGATTCTATGGACTATGGTATGCGATAGTCCGGCGCGGCGGCCTAATTCCCGAATGCGGATATCTGCATTTATTTCCACGATATTTAAAATTTGTTCCTCCTGCTCTACCCGTTGGCGGAATCTGTCGCGATACATTTGAGCTGCAAGATTTGAATTTTGACGAGCTTCACCGTAAACTAACAACATGTCGGCGAACTCTTGATTCGAGAACATTGTAAATGAACACGACGACGTACGCGAACAAAAACAAAACAACACACCCTGTGCCCGGTAACTACCGTTTGCGATCGATTGCCGGTTCGATAAGAGTGATGAAAGGCCGACGCGCTGTTGTCAAGTGTGTTTTAAATATCTAATTTAATCAAACTTACTGACTTACTGACTACAAATTTTGGCTTAACTTAGAAAAACTTAATGCCATTTATTTGTTAATTATCCAATTTAAAAACGTTTTAGATTAGATTATTAACATCAGAAAGATTGTGGTGATTGTAGTCGATATAAAGCATTTAAATTTGTAAACTATAAAGCCATTTAGACAAAAATCTATTGACTTGACCTATTACCCATTTCAATAATGACTATCATAACGTTTACACCCTGTATATTAGCTGTGCCCGACGGGTTATTTATATCTTGACCTTTCTGAAGACAGGTTATGATCAAACTTCTAAATTACTATTTTCCCGTTTTTTTTTGTGTTTTCAAAAACTACGAGGAGCATTACGGGAAATCGCCACCGTGCCCGAGTGGCCTCAATACAGAAAAATTAGGAATGACGCATTAAACATTAAACATTTTCGCAATGCTTCACATCTAGGCGCTGATTTGTATTTTCTATTGACACCGCAAAATAAATTTCTATAAAATTTAAATGACTGTAAATAAAAAATAATGTAATAACCTTTTCACTTTCATAAATATTCCTGTCAGTAGCATATTTTCTCACCTGTTCCTTCACCAATCAGGGATTTTCTTTTCTGATCTCTCCCATTTTTTAAATTCAGCAAATTTGCATATGCAATTTTCAGAAAGTAAATTTTAGCTTTGAATCAACACATACAGGTGTTATTAGCACACAAATCTTCACTATGCACCTATGCACTGCCGTTTCATTCTAGCTATAGTATACAACTAAAGCAGATTTTACATCAGATCAGAGCCAAATAATTATAAAATTATAAAACGAGTTCACAAAACCTACATAATGTCACAAAAAACCAATATAATATCAAAAAACATAATGTCACCTTTCAAAATACGTAATACCCGTGCGGAACTCCGCTTCGCGTCGTAAAGTATCACTTTCCGCACTTCTTAGGTAAATAGCTATTACTGGTGTAATTAATGTTTTTCTCAGTATATATTACCGAAGCATACATGGATAGATAATAATTTCGATTTACCTTTGAAGTCATCGGGCCACCACTGGGTTCTAAATTGAAGGAATATCTTAACAAGGTTACCAAAATAAAGGCCCTCGATTGTCCTGACCTTGTATGGCGGTAGTGATGGGGAGAACATGTCTGAATGGGAGTTTTTCAGTACGCCCAGAGACACGGTCACAATTACATGATCAGCTTCATAAGAGGAATCATCTGAACACTTCACCACAACACTGTTAGGACAGTTTGGTTCATTCCACAGAATTTTTGTCACTTTCTTGTTCAATTGTACTTTTTCTTCTACTGGCAGTGCTGTTGAAAAGTTGGGAGACTTTCTCTGTAATAAGGAGTTTGCATAATATAATTATAATAATAATAATAATAATAATAGACATACTTCATTGTAATGCAGCTAAGGCAAGTCTTAAGTGGCAGAATTTAGCGTTTGCTACTCTAACATTTAACCATGAAAGTCACTATACTACAACTATTTAAAACTGTAATGACTCATACGCGTGATCAACACGTGATCAGAGCTCGATCCCGGCTTCCTTCCAGTACAGCCGTATAGCGTACGACATATGTCGTTTCTGTGGCTTTGCGGTGGTCAACAGCACAGACAGAGATGGAAATAATGGCTGATTGTTCTCCGCCGGTAGAACCAATGAAATCAAAGACGCGCCTCGACCGGCAGACTCATAGGCGTCGGCAATGCATTGGAACGTGTTTCGTTGAGCGATCGCATATTGTGTGTTTTTATAAGAATTGTTGTGTGTTTGTTATTGTTGTGGTTTCTGTGGTTACTGTTTTGGTTATACTTAACCATGGAGAGTACAAATGGCACGAGTGGAAGTACTGAAAGCCAGGGAACAAGTAGACGGCTTCGTAAAGCAATGAAGAGGGACGCGAAAGAAATCGTGCTCAACGTGTTCAATTATCTGAACAGAACTATGTCGCAGGGAGATGCACTCGCGCGTTGTGAAAGTATAACAGGCGTTCCAGAGTGGACCATTCGCAGGGTGGTGCATGAAAAGAAGAAAACTGGAGCTACTACTGATCCAAAGTTTAATTTGAAGGGACGAAAGGCCGTTAAATTGGATGACGATAGCAAAATGGCGTTAAGGCGAACCGTACATTCATTCTTCTTTAGGAATGAGATACCAACCCTCAAGGCTGTACATGCAGCGATCAAGGAAAATGAAATTATACCCCAAATGAGCGTCGAGGTAATGAGGAAATCCCTGCACGAAATTAATTTTCGTTACGAAACGCGTAATCGGAAGTCAGTATTGATAGAGAGACCTGAAATAGTCGCCTGGCGTCGAAAATACCTACGCGAAATGATTGAATATAGGCGACCAAGGAGAAAAATCTATTTTTTGGACGAGACATGGGTAAGTGCAGGTCACACAGTTAAAAAAACCTGGATAGACAAAAACGTAGTGAGTAACCGACAAGCAAGCATTGAAGGTTTGTCAACAAGTCTTCGTGGACCGTCAGGGAAAGGTCAAAGATTGATCGTAACTTTTCGTCTCTAAGAAAGGAGGTGATTACCATGACGAAATGAATGCCAGCTGCTTCGAGAGCTGGTTTCAAGAGGTGCTTCAGCGAGTTGAGCCCAACTCTGTGATCGTCATGGATAATGCTTCCTACCATAGTCGTCGAGCCGAACGTGTACCGACTATGGGATCTCGAAAAAGTGACATGCAGCAATGGTTGCGCGAAAAAGGAATCCCGTTTGACGATTCATGCGTGAAAGCGGAATTGTATGAAAAAATTAAACAGCACAAACCTGCGAACATCAGTTACGGTCCGTCAATGTGGTGTCACTGTGCTGCGGTTACCGCCCTACCACTGTGAACTGAACCCAATAGAGCTCATCTGGGCTCAAGTGAAGGGTTATATTGCGCGCCATAACACAACCTTCAAATTACCAGACGTTAGGGTTTTACTTGATACTTCCATACAGCTAGTGACGCCCGAAGCTTGGCAGAATGCTATCCGTCATGTTGTGAAGGAAGAAACAAAAATGTGGCAGCTTGACCACCACATCGACACCATCATAGAGCCAGTTATAGTCAATTTCAACGAAGAAAGCGATAGCGACAGTTGCTCGGACACGTCAATTTTTGTTTTTAGAGGGCGTATAGCCGTGCACTACAGGGTGATCCAAAAATAAGTTATTCCGTTACACTTTAGATTTTCAAATGGAAACCTCCATTTTATTTATTTTAGATTCTCCATGAAGTTTTTAGTAACTTTTGTATAATAAAGTTTATACCTATCTTCAATCGATGTGATGCTATTTGAGTTTCTAATAAAATTCTAGAAATTGTGATCATAAGGGATTCCCATAGTAACAAGACTTTAAAATTAAAAACAGTTCTCTGAATATTAAAAAACAAAAAAAACTTACAGTTCACACGCACATTAAAGTTAAAAATTAATTTGCTATAAATAGGTAGGTCAATGTGGTAGTAAGTTCTGAAAGTGGTATCCATTTACCTCCATGCAATAATAAAGATTTTTTTCGAATTTATTCCTCACATTTTCAAGCATGACGTGAGTTATTTGTCTACATTCAGCCGAAATCCGCTAATGAAGATCTTCAATAAAATCCGGCTTCGTACTAAAAACTCGCTGCCTATCCACTGATCGGGAAATGGGTTTCTAAAACATAGTGCGGTGGTACACCATTCTGTTGGAAATTAATGTAGTTTTCATTATAATTAAAATCATTTTCTATAATTTCGATAATTAGTGGCTCTATTGTATTGTATACAATCCAGGATCATTATTTTTTTCCATGAATTCCAGTATTATCAGCATTAAGTCAGTCGAATTTTATTATAAGTTCAAATAGCTTCACAACGGTTGGAGATAGGTATAAATTTTATTATGCAATAGTTATTAAACACGTCAGGAAAAAACTAAAAATGTAAAAAATGGGGTTTCCATTTGAAAATCTAATGTGTAACGCAATATCTTATTTTGTTTCACCCTGTATTGTACCGCTATAGATAGAAAGACGTTCCCCTAGAAATCAAAATTGACTTGTCCGAGCGTTTTTCCCAAAATATACCAGGAGAATCGCAAATGGGGATGCGACCTTTCCGTTGGGCCACCGTGTATATGGTGGCAACATTGTGTGAGAGAAACTGCGTTGAAATAGGGTTGCTGAATACCGAGGTATTCTGAAAATTTTATATTTAAGTGGCCTAGAATGGATATCATTGTTCGATAAATCTTAATTTTGTGTCGAAAACAACAGCAAGAATTTTCGTAGAATCGGAAGACTGCAAGTTTTGATTACTTACTTGGACCTTGAAGAGTGACGATAAGTCATCCTTCTTTTTTGGGTATAAAATAATAACATTTTAGGGTTTTGAGGATTGACAATATTGGAATAAATTATTAACATCATTTTCTAAAACTTTTACAGTGTTTTCGACATCCTGGGGATTAAAATAATGTAACAACTGTGTATTGTCTGCGAAAGATTTTATATGTGAATTATCAAGGATTTTGTTCAATTCAAAAGTATAAATCAGAAATGCCAACGATCCTAAGCACGCCTGAAAGAATTGTAGTCACAAGAGAAAATGCACGATCGATTCAAGCATTGATCAAGATAACTTCTGAAAATGAAAGCAATATCTATGTAATTTAATTTAGACAGCAGTAACTCACGATTGATGCTGTCATAAGCTTTCCAGAAATCTATAAATATTAACGTTGATGCAATTTTATTATTTTAGGTTCTTAAAATATTATCTTGCAAATCGAGAAGCACCTAGGTTGTACTATAATTTTGGCTGAAGTCAATGTATCAGGAATTATTAAATATTTTTCAAGATAAGTGGTTAGTTGCAATTTTATCAGTTTCTCCAGTATTTTAAGCAAAATTGGTAGGGATAGAGAACTGAATGTTCCCAAAAAATCTCTTCAACGACATGTCGCACATGTACGTACCATTAGAACATCCAAAAGTGTCCTATAGCCTTTTTTTCTCCAATTGATTGTCGGATGTCCTTCGCATTCCATATAACTACCAATGGTGTTATTGACGGAGAAATCCTCTATGCTCTCAGCTGCATCATATGTGATATAATAGTTACAAAACCAATCTTCCATTGCCTTTGATAGTTCTAAGATATTTTTTTCATTAGCAAACTGTTCACGTATTCTCTTGGTATATCTATAATTTCAAATGCAACAAGACATGTTAAATATTAAAAAAATCACGGAATCAATGTAGGCTACGAATTTTTGAAATGGAAATAACGTGGATTAGTAAAAAATGTACAACTTTGAAAAAATGGAATCAAGTAGGTTGACTCCCCACACAGCACATTAGTTTTCAGAGATATTTCTGGTATATTACATATCATTCACAATATTACAGTTCAAAATTGGTATTTCGTACATCTCTCGGAAATATTGATTCTGTAATATTTCGCAATTTATGTTTGAGAACCATTACTGAAATGTGGGATAAGGAATATTTCATTCATATTGTTTCTGAAATATCACTGATATGTTTTAAATATTTTACATTAAATTCATATACTCAGTGACATTAGAAGTGTTACACCCAGAAAAAAATAATTTCTTCAACTTGTTTTTTTTATTCGGCTTCATAATGACTATATTTAAAGCATGCTGTGGTAACGATGTATACGTTTTATCTTTGTTTTTGTTTACCTTTGTTAAAATGTTATCTCGTAGTTTTTGTGAAGAAAGCAGAGTTGTACAGATATTTTTAGTTATTGCCCTACGGGGGTAGAATTATTGCATATCCAGATGTTGGTTTGTCCTATCGCGAAATTGGCCGCCGTGTTAATTGTACTACAATGACGGTAATGCATGTGTGTCATGGGTGGATAGAAGAAGGTAGAAGAACACGATGGAGGCCAACTGGTCCACCGAGGCGTACCACAGAGCATTAAGATAGGCGCTTCAGACAGCTAACTCTACGAGACCAGTTTACTACTAAGCGTCAGATCGCTGACCAATGGTTTAGAGAAGAAGGTAGACCTGTTACTAGTCGTACACTCTATCGCCACATTCGAGCGTTTGGACCTCTTTCATACCGTCCACGGTCCGAACCGCACGTTCGTCAACGTATGAACTGGAGCAGAGAACGGCAACATTAGGAGGCAGAATGGCATATCGTCATCTTCAGCGACGAATCGGGATTCTGTCTAGGTACGCACGATGGTCGTAGAAGGGTAAGACGCCGCCATGGAGAACGGCGTGATACTGGATTTGCTGTTGAGAGGCATGTACACAGGACTGTTAGAGTAATGGTTTGGAGGGCTATTGTCTATGGAAGCCGATCACCCCTTCTCTTTGTTCAAGGCAATATGACTGCTACGCGTTATGTTCATGATGTCCTACAAACCACTTTACTTCCGTATCTAGAGGGCCGTCCACACGTCCTTTTTCAGCAAGACAACGCAAGTCCCAATATTGCTCGTCGTACTATGGACTTTCTGATGGGGAGGAGAGTATCCACTTTGCACCATCCGTCACAAACTCTGCCACAGCTAATCCACGAAGTTCGAGCTGCTTGGAATGAGGTGCCACAACCAGACATCGATCGTCTCATTTTGCCGATGCCTAGACGTATACAGGAGTGTATTCAGCTTTTCAACGGATAACCTAGGTCTTCTCAGCGCAAAAAGATCAATTTTAGATTAATTGTCAAATCGCCGTATAGCCAGTGATACATGCTTATCAAAGACACCCATCACCTTTTTTTGTTTCTTTTTTAGTCGTAGGAAGCATTTGTAGCCCGTTACTGAGCCCATATTAGGTAATAAATATACGCGTGACTCTATTATATAGTAAAAATACTTCCTATTTAGCGGGTTTCAAGTATACATCCAGCGAGTTTATTAAGTGTCGACAACAGTGCGCACGTTTCGTCTCGTCGTCTACTTTAGTGTATATACTCGTATTTTGTGCCTTCAAGTCAAGCGTTTGAGTTTACTTTTACGAATATATCATCAATATATCAATTATTTAGTTCCAGTTCCCAACAAGAGCTATTGTAACATGAAAAAGTTCATATCCACCTACACACCCGAGCTACTAGAACTAAAAAAGTGGTCTAGTGCTCATTAGCTTATTAGACCTTCGAAAAATTCCTCATTCACGTGTTTTTATAAAACACAAAAGATAATGTAGTGTATATTTTGTTTTTACCAAAAATCCCGACCATTTTTCAATACTTTGATGAATATACTAGTGCATTAACATATACAGGGTGGCGCATCGAAAACGAAACAGACGCATCTACTGGCAGCTCAGTTTTTTTTTTTGAAAACGCACAGACCCGTCGATTTTGTTTTCGAGGGGGACACAAGTTTGGCAAAAAATCACGTTAACACGTGCAGCCCCCTGGGCGGGAATGTCATCAACCCTAAAATCTTGAATGGAAAGGGGGGTCGAGTGATACCTTATTTTAAAGGTCTTTCAATTCCCTTTAAAATGATATAAAATTAATGTACTTCAGTTCAGTAGTTTTGAAGATTTCTTGATCTAAAGCTTAAATAAAACTAATACATTATCATTAGTGGAGATCAATACATTTGGCAACAAAGCAATTTAAAAATGAAGAATGAACTGACCCGTTAGGCAAGTAAACGTTGAAAATGGCCACCATGACTCTCCATGCAATAATAAAGATTTTGCTCAAAACGTTGCCGCACATTTTGCAATATTTAAGGAGTAATTTGAAGGCACTCATTCACAATTCTTTGTCGCAGGTCTTCTAATGATGTTGGCTGAGTAGCATAGATTTTGCTTTTTAAATGACCCCACATAAAGAAATCCAAAGGTCTGGCGATCTTGGGGGCCATTCAATGGCAACTCTTCTACCAATCAATCGATCTGGAAACGTCTGATCTAAATATTGTCGAACACATAATGAGTAATGTGGTGGGGCACCATCCTGTTGGAACATCAACCTATTCGCAATGTACCGCCGATCATTCTGATTTTCAATTATGGCTGTTAGTGCAGGATCTATGGCGTCTTCCAGTAATTCCAAATACATTTCACCGGTCAAATTTCCAGGTAAGAAAAAAGAACCAACTAAATGATCGCCAAGAATACCAGCCCAAACATTTAATTTTTGTGGTTGCTGTGTATGAACCTCATGATAAATTCTGGGATTAGAATCGGACCAATATCGGCAGTTATGACGATTTACTACGCCATTTAAGAAAAAGGAACATTCGTCGGAAAAGCAAGTGTTGAATAGAAAATGTTCATCGTTTATAATTCCTTCACTCATATCTTCACAAAATTGAAATGGCCGATCAAAATCGTCTTCATTAAGTTCTTGTACCAAGTGAATTTTATACGGATGAAAACTATGGGCCTTTAGAATCCGTTGGACAGTACGTCGACTAACACCACACACAGTCTCCAATTTGCGGGTACTTAACGTAGGATCTACATAAACTTGCCCTAAAACCCCCACTTCTATTGCTTTGTTCCTTATGGGATTTTCAATGTTGCGTTTTTTATTGGCGACTGACTCAGTTCCCCGAAATTTAGCTACAAGATCTAGAACATATTTTCGATACACGTTACTGTTCTCATGTCACTCATTAAATATCTCGATGATTGCAACTCTTTCTGCTGTGGAATATACCATAGTTAATTTATGTAATAAAGCGTTACAAGTTATTTTAGCAACAAAGTTTGGTCTAATCAATCTCAAACTACTAAATTCCTATTTAAAAAAAGTACGAGATATTTCCTTATCTTTCTTCAAGAAATAACTTTTTTACCATAAAAAAACGCTCCAATAGCTATTTTCAACAACAAAATGATAAACAAACCATGTGCGTAGTGAAAAAAAACATTTACTTATTAAGTAAATTCTTTTAGTCAAATTTATTCTAAAAGTAGTACAAACTAATCTGATGTACCTATTAAAGTCTACTTTAAGGTTTAAATCAATAAATCTTCAAAACTACTGAACTGAAGCTCATGTATTTTACATCATTATAAAGGGAATTGAAAGGCCTTTAAAATAACGTATCACTCGACCCCCCTTTAAGATTTTAGGGTTGGTGTCACCCCCGCCCAGGGGCTGCACGTGTTAACGTGATTTTTTGCCAAACTTGTGTCCCCTCGAAAACAAAATAGACGGATCTGAGCGTTTTTCCAAAAAAAAAAATGAGCTGCCAGTAAATGCGTCTGTTTCGTTTTCGATGCGCCACCCTGTATACACGGTGGCACAACGGAAAGGTCGCACTCCCATTTGTGACTCTCCTGGTATATTTTAGGAAAAACGCTCGGACACGTGAATTTTGATTTCTAGGGGGACGTCTTTTCATCTATCCGTACAATACAGGGTGATCCAAAAATAAGATACTGTGTTGCACTCAAGATTTTTAAATGGAAACCCCCAGTTTTTTAATTTTTAGATTTTCCATGAAGTTTTTAGTAACTTTTATATAATAAAGTTTATTCCTATTTTCAATCGTTGTGAAGCTATTTGCGTTTATAATAAAATTCGACTAACATAACTTAATACTGATAATAATGGAATGCACGGCAATAAATAGTAATCATAGATACCAACAAGAATATTTCAAATTGTTAAGTTGCCTATCTAGTTGTAATAAATATTGAGCAATGACTTATTCAAGAAATGGTAGAAATGGCAAAATTGTATTACCAAAATGGGAGCATTGCAAAAGCTACTACCCGGTTGTTTAATGCGTTACATCCAGATGAAAATGCTAACTATAAGAAACTGGATCTGTGTCTAATATTCGCTGTAATCGCCATCGAGAAAATCGACCAGATAGAAATGAAGCCGCAAATGGTAGTTTTGGGACACGTAGCACTTGACAGCACCCAAAGCATCCGTGGACTGGCTACTTCTTCAGGATTTACACGCTCAACAGTACAAAGAATTTTGAAAGACAATAAATTTCACTCGTACAAGATAAAACTTGTCCATGAGCTTAATGAAGACGATTTTGATGGAAGGTTGGAGTTTTGCGAATTAATGTCCCAACGTTTAATCAACAATGCAAATCTGTTATTTAATATTTATTTCTCGAATGACTGTACATCCCATTTACATGGTGCTGTAGATAGACATAATTGTCGATATTGGAGTGACTCGAATTCACATTTTTTTGTGAGAGGTACACTCGCAATATCCTG